AAAAAGCCGGACATGTCCGGGGAAACCCAGATGGATGGTAACCCTATGTTTGCTCTCCCAGAATTGGCAATACTGACTTTTGATTGTGCTGGTTAACTGGAGAGTCGAATAGGACTCAGGCTTTGGACCACTCCCCTTGACATTAACAGAGTTGGAGCAAGCATTAAAATACAAGGCTGCCAAGTGTCAAACCCATAGGTGCTGGAACTAGAGGCTCTGGGGGTGCTGATGCACCCCATGGCTTGAAGTGGTTTCCATTCTATACAGCATTTACAGTTTGGTTCAGTGGCTCTCAGCACCCCCACTACATGCATTGTTCCTTCCTCCTGGTCCCACGTCTCACATGGAACTCAGGCCTGCATCTGGTCACTTAGGCCTGCATCTGGTCACTTAGGCCCACTGGAATCTCATGGCAGACAGTGGACTTTTCCATGCTGTTGCTCTTCCTGGCCACTGGTGTGTGTTGTGGCACCTGCTGAGCAAGACTCCTTTCTGCCTCCTCTCTGCTGCTTCCCCTGCTGGATCTCAGCCAGGAAAAATGCAGCTGGGAGCAGAGGTGGTGGCTGTATGTGTGTGTGTGTATGTATGTATAGATAACACTGCTCTTGGGTTCCACCCCCCCCCCAACACACACCCCAGCTGCACCAGCCTCTCAACATCACCAACCCCTCCCAAACTCCCCCTGAAGCCCCACTACCCATATTGCTGGCCTTGGCACCCCTTCCCCGAGCTGCTTCCCTCACTCTCCCTGCAGATAGGGTCCCTGGCAATGTTTCCCTAACATGCACCTTATGCACTGCAGAGAGGTAGCGCGCTACACAATGCTGTACTTGGAGGCATCTGCTTGCTGCTCAGGAGAAGGGGTTCCCCTCGTAGCTGCTGCTGATTGTCCCTGCCAGGAAGTCACCACCTCTTTCTTGGCCCCCTCTCCCATCATCAATCCCTTATTCGAACACTGTAGCAAAATAAGTGTTGCGGTGCAATGCAAGATGATTTCACATTGCAGAGAAATCTAGGCAATACAGTTAGGTTGCAAAGCATCAAATATTGCCATAGTGTAGCCACTTTCTGACCAGCTAAGAAACAGCAAGTGTTGCAATTCTTAGAAAAACAAACAATAAAAAAAATACCTACAGTGTCTTCATGGTCTTCAAATACTTCTCTTGCCTCTTCATATGTGCATCTTTCTTCTAGGCACTCTCTTTCCAAGTTGCCTTGAAAGAACTCCTCAATAATTAGGAAAGACCCACGCTTATGTCTTGAGATAACTTGATTTGCATTGTTGGCCGATAGGAAGACTGAAAAGTTGTACAACAAGAGGCACTAATTAGGATTACCAGATAGCAACTGTGAAAAAATAGGACGGGGGGGCGGGGCGCAATAGGTGTCTATATAAGAAAAAGTCACAAAAAACGGGACTGTCCCTTTAAAAATGGGACATCTGGTCACCCTCGCACTAATGTAAATATATAGATGGTTTTCGTTATCTACTTCTGTCTCTTCTTAAAATAGGTCAGGAAGCAGGCAGTTTTTAATATGAAGGAATTGCGTTAATGTCAAAGTTGTACAAGTGCATATACTGCACCAGCACTTTTCTTAGCCCAGATTGGACTGGGAAATCATGGAATTTTGTCCAGTGCTTAATTTGTAATGAAAGAGGTGCCATTTTTTTACTTTCATAACTGATGTAGCAAGCCCAGAGGTGCCAGGGTTATAAACTGCCAAGCCCAGAGGTGCCGGGGCTCAGCCTTGGAAAGCCCTCGCACAAATTAAGCACTGGTTTTGTCTTTATTTTCCATTGGGAAGTGCAGGATTTGAACCCTGTAGAATAGAAAGTTAGTTCAGCCTTGCCAATCCCCAGATCTCAGGGAGTCCACCAGAGGCAGGGCCATCCACATGGCAGTCCTGTATCCCTACCCTGCCTCCATTGCCCCCTGCTCTGTCCTGGATTCCATGACAATCTGGTTCAGATGGAGTCATGCTACCATACATACTTGTTAAGTGTAACAAGCACACTTATCCAGAACCCTCTTCTTCAACTGGAGATCTGCCGTACAGACAGGGTGCATGGTAAAGTTAGTGCTGACTCTGTATTTAATTGCCGGCAGAATTCTTCTTGGAGGGAGAATTAGGCATGTCCCTCTAGCAACCTCCTCTCCCACCCTGGCTTCATGCCACCCCTCCAAAGCAAATTTACAAACCTGTGGAAGGGGCTTCTACAGGGCAGGGAAGGGAGGAGAAATGTTACCAGAAAGGCAACACTCCCCACTTTAGAGCCCTTGGGAGACGATCCATAGGTTTTAAAATTCTTCTGTAGAGGTGGAGGGAACGATTTGTGCCTCAATTGTTATTTAAGGGCCCAATCCTCCACTCCTTACTCAGACTGACTCTACTGAGAGTCTTGGCTGAATAAAGATAGCCAAATTTGGTTTTTAATTTATGTGTTTGGGAAAGCAAATATAATGTACAATGGCCAGAAAAAAAGACCAGTTCCTTAGGTGTAGGAGACTAGAACCATGTGAATCTAATGAGGGATCAAGGAACTGGGGGCTATGATACTTAGGAACACAACAATATTGTGAAATTGTATGTAATTTCTTAGTTAAGCCTTTAAAAAAAACAAGTGAAAAGAGAACAGACTAATTCTAGTACCGTTTACACGGTTTTAAAAAATGAATTCCATGATTTAAAACAAAACAAAACAAAAAAGCTATCTAGTGCACAATATATTTTTTAAAATGAGAGTCATTTTTCTTGCATGATTGATAGTGTATTTTTGCCATTAGTTTGATTTCTGGTGCATTTAAAATATCTTTTTAAAATCATATTGTGGTACATGATTGATTAACTTCAGTGAAAATCATTACTATTATTACTGTGAGTGTCATGCATAAATGCAGAGCTTCTTTCTCCTTCTCCCATCCTTTCCTCAGACATCTGAGATACTCTAGAGCATTAATACAGAAAAGTGCATCTATGCAAATCACGTAAAAGCAATGTCTTTTGGCCTTCTACCATAAACTCAATTTTCATCAGAACGATGATTAGAAAGACCAAGTGAGAAGGCACTTTACTTCACATATGGGCACTCTTTATGGATGATAAGTACGGAGTTCAGAGAAAGCATTGTACTGATGTTAATAGAATAACATACTGTCAAATAAAACAAGGTTTTTGCATCAGTAACTGAATTGCAGTTTCTGCTAAAGTGCACAAGAGAAATGTGGGTGAAAATTAGGACCTGTCAGCTTCAATGATAGCCTGTACGACAAAGTTAAAACAATACCAGGCAAATAATATTTTTGTGTTTTAGGAAGATCACCACAAAGCCAAATTAAAACAACAACAACAAAGCAAATGCCATACCTGTCTGTTCTGTCTGAAGGAAAAGGAGGACAAAAGGAAGAAAGCATATTGTCCAGAAGTGAGTTGCCATTTTGATCCACTGTAATAGTTAACTGTAGCTTGCCTGCATTCCTGCAGAGCTTTCAGGGAAGTCGAGAAATGTTCAAGTTGAAAGTTCAGTAACTCTAAGGGCAATGCCTGGGCTCAGCGTCAACAAATGACAACCTATAAAAAAAATTTAGTGGTACAACAATGCTCCCATTCGAGGAAAGAGGCAATCCCTTATCCTTTGGACACATGGGGTGGAGCAGGTTTGCTAGCTATCCTGAAAACTGCTGGGCAGCATCACATTTTGAACATCCATCCCATATCCCAGTCTCCACTTTGCTTTACACAAAAAGGGGAGAGCTGCTAAAAAGCTGACAGCTAGTACCAGACATAAGTGCAGTACAGGTAGAAGTTGGAAGATAACTGGTAGGAGAAGAGTACACAGTAAGACTGGTTTAGGATTTAGTAAAAA